ATTGTTCTGTCCTAAGTGCAGGGCTTTGCTTTAGTCCTTATTGAACCTCATGAGATTTCCTTTAGTCCAATTGTCCAATTTGGCAAACTCATTCTGAAACCTAGCCCTCCCCTCCAGTGTATCTACTGTTTACCCCTGCTTGGTGTTACCTGCAAACTTGCTAAGGTGCAATCTGTCCCACATTCCAGGTGGTTGATGAAGATATTGAACAAAACTGACCCCTGGGGCACACCACTTGATACTGGCTGCCAACTAAACATTGAGCCATTAACTACTATCCTCTGAGCCCAGTGATCCAGCCAGTTTTCTGTCCGTCTTACAGTCCATTCATCCAACCAACCCATACTTCCATAGCTTGCGTCTAAGAAAGTTGTGGGAGACTGTATCGAAAGCCTTGCTAAAGTCAAGGTATATCACGTCCACTGCTCTTCTGCATCCACAGAGCCACTCATCTCTTCATATAAGGCAAACAGATTGGTCAGGCATGACTTGCCCTTGGTGAATCCATGCTGACTGTTCCTGATAATCACCTTCTTCTCCTTCAAGTGCTTAGAAATGAATACTTTGAGGACCCACTCCATTCTTTTCCAGGGACCAAGGTGAGGCTGATTGGTCTATAGTTCCCTGGATCCTCGTTCTTCCCTTGTTTAAAGACAGGCACTATATTTTCCCTTTTCCAATCATCTGGGACATCTCCCAATCACCACAGGTTTTCAAGATAATGGCCAGCAGCTCTGCAATCACATTGGCCAATTCCCTCAGTACCTTTGGGTGCATCCTGTCTGGCCCCATGGACTTGTATATGTCCAGCTCTTCTAAATAGTCCCTAACTTGTTCTTTTGCTGCTGTTGGCTGCTCACCTCCTTCCCAAACTGTGCTGCCAGTGCAGTGGTCTGGGAGTTGACCATGCCTGTGAAGACTGAGGTAAAAAAAGACATTGAGTACTTTGGTCTTTTCCACATCATCTGTCACTAGATTTCCTCCCCCATTAAGTAAGAAACCCAAAATTTCCCTGATCTTCTTCTCACTGACATACTTGTAGAAACCCTTCTTATTAACCTTCACGTCCCTTGCTAGCTGCAACTCCAGCTGCGCTTTTGCTTTTCTGATTTCATCTCTCCATGCCAAAGCAATACTCTTATACTCCTTCCTAGACATTTGTCCAAGTTTCTACTTCTTGTGAGCTTCGTTTATGTTTTTTAGCTCATTGAAGAGTTCCTTGCTAATCCAGGCTTGTCTTCTGCCATACTTGCTAGTTTTCCTGTGTATCAGGATGGTTTATTCCTGTGCCCTCAGTAAGATTTCTTTAATCTACAAATGGCTCTCCTGGACTCTTTTTCCCCCTCAGACTAGCTTCCTGGTGGGGGATCCTGACCATAAATTCTGTGAATGAGTCAAAGTCTGTTATTTCTGCAGTTCAGGGTCCTTACTCTGCTGTTCTCCTTCCTGAACTCATCTTGTGGATGCTGCTGCCCAAGTTGCCACCAGTTCTACATTTCCCACCGATTGTTCCGTTTGTGACAAGCAAGTCAAGAAGAGCACTGCCTATAGCTGACCTTTCCAACACTTGCACCAGGAACTTGTCCCCAGCACTCTGTTGTTATCCAGATTATATGTAACCTTGCAGATTGGTCACTGATAAGAGGCAGAAGCAGGTCTACTGCCCAACCATTTATTTGCTTTCACTTCAAACCCTTATCCAAAATCTATCTGGCTACCTGTGACAGAATAACATAGATCCTCACATATACTGGCTGGGGAGACTCGAGGTGGGAGGAGGGTGGCATGTAGATTGGCAGCAGGTCTTCTTGAATTTGCCAAATTCTTCATATTTCCCTCCAGCCTATGCCCTAGTTTTATAGATGGTTGATTATAAACATTCTCATAAAAGATCTCTGATTTACTTTTATTTAAATGTCTTTGCTTTACTGAAAGTTTTGTCAGTTAGTCGGGATTTGTATTTCTGGAGGGAAGGGTTCTTTCTTACTTCCTTCTGTCCTAGCCACCAGTGGGAAGGTTCGGGATTGAGAGAGTAGTCAGGAGCAAAAAGGTAAGAAAGGTTTATTAACTTAACAAACACACAACTATGCATAGTATAACAAGACAATAATGACCGACAATAACAATTCGCGTCGGCAGCTTATCAGCAGTCCCCTCTGATGCCTGATGTACAACAAGTTCCTCTTCTATAAAGCTCAGTGAAGTCAGGTGTCCCCGATCTGTGCTGTTTGAGGGGTACCGGGAAGGACCCTGGTATTCAGTCCTTGGTCTCCTCGAGATCCATGGGCCCACTGGATCCAAGTCAGCAGCTAATTTCTAAATTAGTAGCTTCTCTTACAATGCTGTGTCTCCCTTCCACTAATTTCTGGATGTGCTAGCCAATTTATAACTTTTGAGCTACACTGTTGACTCACAGCCACTCACATTCTTACACTATGAACTTTCCTTATGACTGACAAATAGCAGTACAAGCCTTTGCATTTTTCTGATAAGGTTAATTTTAACTGTGCCACTACATACAAGGCCTTACTACTTTCAAGGCCTCACTAATCTTACAAGACCTCACTACATACATAGCCTCACTAGTTTTTTACTTTAATTAAACTCTTAGCAGCAACATGCAGCTCCATATAGAAACAAACAACAAGAAACACCTGGTCTAATCCTCACAAAGCGTTCAGCAAGCACCTTCACCACACAGACATAATTTTCAGCTGTCACACCTTCCTTCACCATTATGAAATACTGGTTCCCCTCATTCTGTTTTTCTTTTCTCCCAAATTTATGGTCTTGTGTAAACAAAGCTGCTTTATTTTTTTACAATATATCAAGAAACTTAACAAAAATCTATCTATTTATACCAAAATAACATCTAATACATTTAGTTGCATCAGTTGCTAGAACATGAAGCTTTGATTTTGTATTTGTGCTCTGTTTAATTGTATCTCATTTCTCGTTTAGTTAGACAAGCTGATGTTTAGGTAGACAAGCTACTTTGCTGTTCAAGCGAGTTGTGTCTTCAAAGGTTCACTCCATGGTCACTCAGAAACAATCTTTGAGGTCTTCTGCTTAGCCACATTTCTGCAGCTTAGTAAGATCTTTGAAAATGGCCAAGGCTGGCGCAAAAAAAAAACTTTAACAATTTTAAAATGTTGTCAAAATCTACAAATGTCTTTTAAATTAAATTTCAGTTCAATATATGTTGACAAGTAGTGCTATAGAATGAAAATTTAGGAGTCCCACTTAGTCTTCTACTCTTTTTACTTTTTATGAGCTTTTGGGACAAGTTCTGTTAGTGTGGACAACATTTAGTGTATTGGTTGTCACTTCCAGAATACAAGCTTATTATTATTGGTGCATTGATTCAAGTTTACTCTCAAGCTGTAGGTAGTGCTTGCTTTCAGGGATTTAGGCAGCTTTTGCATTTAATTTTATCAGAGTAGTAATAAAGTCACTTCAGTGCTAAAAGTCTCATTTAGAAATGGTTTGTCTGTCAAGAAACACTGGCAAAAGCTAAAGCCTCTACTTTTTGACAGCATGACTTTGCATTTGTAATGTGAGTTTCTTACTGATTTCAAGCTCAAGAAACTTTCCTTTTATTTTAATTTTTGCACTTCCTGATATTTTTTTTTACTTTATCTAGTAGTATTGAAAATAAAGTTCCAGAAGTCTTTTGCAACATGTCATTGCATCTTTAAGGAGCTTGGAGCTACTGAATTGCTGCATACAGCTGCTGCTTATAAAGGCTTGTTTGGGGGTGGGGTTTGGTGTAATTTCATTTTTCAGGGTTTCAACATGTATTTAAAATTACTTAAATGTTAGTTGATATTTTATATCCTTGTTACTGCACTGAGGTTTTGCATTTAATGCATTTTATAACAATGGGATATGTACTATAAAAAGCAGTTCATCATATGAAAAGATAATAAATGTGATAGTAGTTAATATAGTGTGTACTTATATAACTCTATACAGTAGTATTTGACTGATATAGGATATGACTTGTTGCCCAACTTGCAAGCTGGGGGCTGCATGAACCCTGGGCTGCATCAGCAAGGGCCACAGGCCCCTAGGTTTTGTGCCAGGCAGATGCCTCTGCACCACACAGCCTTGAACTCATCCTCTCTGTGTGGGCACTGCCCCAGCACATGGGAGAAGGGTAGGAAGCAGCAGCTGGAAGAGGAGAGCGAGCCCAGAGATCCTACCCGCTATTGTAGCCAGAGTGATGGGGCAGCAATGGTTAAGCCGCGGTCCAGGAGCCACAACTAAATCCCTCACAGCCCGCATGTGGCCCATGAGCCATCAGGACAGCTGTGCTCTAGGACATACCTTCCTTTGCTATCTACCCCAATGAAATCCTGAGGGTCACAGGCATAGTCTTTGGAGACTTCTGCATGATGAGACTTTTTTTGCACCCAAGATTTAGAGTCTAATATTTTTCAATCCAATGCCTATGTACAATCCTTCCCAAGTGCGAAATGTCCTTTGGAAACATTGTACTTGCTGCTATTCAGTGGTTCAGAGGGTTTAAAATACCCAGCATGAATTAATATTTGTTAAAGACGGGGAGCAAGGATGTTTTTCTGTACACAGACTGCAGTGGGAAGGAAATGAAGTCACTGCAAACTGAGTAACCACTTTTGATGCTTTCCCCCCAGTGTTTATTGGATAAAAATTTAAATTTGGTTTTGTTTTGGGTGGTGTTTTATGACTGTTTCAGTTCATATTTAAAATCAGAAGTTCTTTCTGTTAAAAAACAAAATAAAAACATCCATTGTGTGCAGGATGCTTTCTCAATTTGTAAGAAAATGAAGTTTCTGTCCAAATGTTTTGCAGTTTGTGTACATTAGAAGCTCACTTCAGGAGTATGTCTGACTTGTTGTTGTTAATGTTGTCTTCAACTGAGTCTCTGAAAAGCTAAAATGATATTTTAAGCTTTTCTGCTACAATCAGCAACCTATAAATTAATTGGTAATTGTCATTTGTATGGGTTCGGACAGATAAAAGAAGCAGAAGCCAAAGCTGCTGTTGAAGAAGAAAAGCGAAGACAACAGGTACCAACTTTTCTTCTCTCAACCAATGACGTTCTTTGTGCTTCCCCAACAAACCTCTAGTTACCTATTTCTCTTAGCAAATCTGTTACTTTATGTGCGCTTACATGTACAAAGAATAGTTCATCTCCATACCCACTGTCTTTGGTAACTGTCAGGATCTTTTGCACCAGCTAAAAATTTGTATTTGTGTTCTAAGTGACTTATAATAGACTACAAAGCCATATCACCAAACTTTTTATAACTGTATTAAAATTGCATTTAGCTGATTAAATCATGTTTCATGACGACAGTCTCATTTTATGGATTGTATTTGCTTTGATATTTTTTGCATACAATTGCTTTTTTGGATCTTTTAAAACTTATAAAAAGTGCAAGCACAATTGCAGAAACAACTTCTGTAAGCTTTCAAATGTATGCTACAGTAGGTTTTTCCTCAGAGACATAATGATGCAATAATTAGTTCCTATTCTGTCAAGAATTTGTATTGTACTATATTTAATACATGTTCATGAATAGCTTTCTCAATGTAGAGCTGGTAGCAACTTCTGTTATAACCTTTCCATTACAAGATTTTGTGACCTTCAATTTGAGAAACTAGCATCTCCATTATTTTGTAGGAGTCTGATATTTGTCAGTGGGGTTGCTGTGCAAATGCCTTTTCTTTCTCCTGTTAAGTTCTATTCAGCTTTTGCACAGCTAGGTGCTTTAAAATCTCTTATTTCTCTCTCCTGCTTGCCTGCCACTATAACTGAAAATGAAAATTCTAAGGCTGATGCCAAAACAAAATTGGCACACACTGTACCAATGATAATATCTGGGATATGTGGAAAGAGAGATGGCCTACGCCTCGTGTGCGGTACCTCTGGAATATTGCCACATTGGGTGGGGTCCCCCATCTTCCCAGTGGAGGGAGAAAGAGAGAGCCTGGTTAGCCACTCTGACTTCACTGACTCCAGCACCTCTTCCTTCCCACTTGCAACCGAGAGGCACCACATTTGGCTAAAGCTTCCTCAGTTCTTAGGAATGGCTAATCTGCCTCCTCTTTCTGGCAGTTCAGCTCAAGACTTCTGTTGCTGCCCATTAACATAGCCAGTCCAGTTGCTTAAGTGTAAAAGGCTGTGTAGCAATAATGTGTGTCGAGAGGTCAGTCCCTGATTACGACTGAGGAGTCTTTAAATTGCACATAATGACATTGGTTTTTACCTTTATTTTTTAAGGAAAAATTATGGAATTTCAAACAGAAAAGAAAAGATCTTAAAACAATATGGTTGAATTTGAAAAGTTAGGCCTTCAAAAGTTAGGAAATGTCAGATTTACAATTTCCCTTGCAACCATAATTTAAATTCACTTATGCATAATTATCTTTAATTGCATGAATTAGACCACAGGTTCCCAAACTTTTTCTTATTGTGTACCCCCTTCCAGATTTACCAGCTGCCCATGTACCTCTGTCAGCACATGCTTTATATTGTAACCCCTTACATGCCAATTATTATTATAATGAAAATTAAATCTGCCATTACACAATTTCTCCTGTCTAGCCCCCAGAGATGTTTTGCATACCACAGTTTGGGAACCCCTGAATTGGACTACATTCTGCTTTTTTTCCCCATAGAACTCAGATAAACATTTTATGCAGCGCTCATTACATTAGATATGATTACTGTTGTTATGAAAATGACTTTTTCAACTTCTGTGCAGATTTTCTGTTCAGTATGTCTGATAGACCTCCACAATTTATGAATAAAATGAAATAAATCCAACCAGATTGTGTACAAAGCCCTTTGCAGATGCTATAGATCTACAGGCCTCTATACTTCTTCAGGTGGTTGTTCAACAGGAGTGCTTGACTTTTCTGGACGAGAAGGTAGACAAGGGGGTGGAAATTAATTTTGTTTGTTGGTGCAAGCCTGAGAGTCATGAGATTCAATCTTCCATGTTATCAGGATAGTGCCAACAATTCCTCTCTCAGGATGAAGAAGTAGTAGTTACAAACTGGTGCCCCTTCCCTTGCTACTGAAAGTAGCAATAGTTTTTCATCCTCTCTGAACCAGCTGTGGGATGGGAGGAGAGGTGAAGAGATGCTTTGAGTTCACAGTTACTAACGGCAGAAGAAAAGTAAGCCCCTCAAAGTTCCATTACAGGTTTCAGAGGGGAAACCACATCCCCTACAATCTGCCTCGTCCTGTCTCAACCTTGCCTCTGGCTTCTTGTCCTGGTCCTACTCTTGCCAACACAATCTTAGTCACTATTCCTTAAGCATCTCTTTCCTCCTCATCCTGTACAGTCTGCTTGCCTAACCAGACTTAGCTTACCCTTCTAGGTTTACTGTCTTAAATCCTGCTGTCCTCCACTTGCTCTCCTCTCCTTGTATTCAGTCCTTGTCTCTCTCTCCAGTTCCCTTGTTTCCTTCCCCCACTTGTACCAGTCTCCAGCTCATCCAGTCCCAGCTTTCCCCTGCTCATAGTCTTACATGTATTTCCTTTCCCTCCCTCAAAGTCTCATCTAAACTGAGCCTTACCCCTCCCCAAGTCTTTGTCTCAGTCTGTTTGCCCAGCCAGTCATAATTTGCCCCCCACGAACTCAGGTGATCGTTAAATACATCACCTCTTCCCTTGTTGTCCCCTTATTTGCTTTTAGTTCCAGTCTTGCTCTCTCCCTCCCTCTGCCCCATCCTGAATTCCAGGTCTGATCCCATTCCCCCTTAACCAGCTGGCTTCCAGTCCTCTTTGTTTCCTCGCTAGTCTCCCCTGTCTCCAATCTGGCTCCTTATCTCAGCCTGCTATCTTCTACTGCCCTCCCTTGCCCCAGGTCATTCTCCACAGATATCAGCTGCTTCCTTCACATTGCCATGGTGCAGTAAGTGGGTCATAGGCTGTAAACAGATGGCTTTTTTTGTGGTCCCAATTGATATGAATCCAAACCTGGGACAAAAAAGGAATTGCACACACATGTCCTTACAAATTACATTGTTGCTCCTTTGGTGGTGGGTGGCCAAGGAGAACGTGCAGCCTGACAGACTTGCCCCTGGAATGAGTGGTAATTAATTTGACTGAGCTGCAATTAACTTGTAGACTACACAGCATTGTGGGGAAGGCACTGGAACCTGTTAGCACATTTTTATCTTGCATACTTCACCAGGTACTTCAAATGGGACTGGCACTCTGTAGAATCCCTGGACAAAAATCTTTCTCTTGGAAGAAATACCATGTCTGTTTGCACCCCTAAAAAGACAAGTTGTCTGCTTTCAGTTCCAGGGTCCAACCCCACTCTGGCCTGGGGCAGTCATTATCCAGAGCATCTGGATTCATTCTGCTATAGACCTGGGCATGAACTTATTCATTCTGTGGGTATGGCACATGTCCAGTCATGGTCATGGTAGGAGTGGTGAGATGCTTGAGCATGTTCAGTGAGGATTGAATCTTCAAAGAGTTTAGCTTTTAATCTGACTCAGCTGAGGGCAAGACTTGGAAGCTTTTAATTTAGATAACTTTGGGTAAATTTTAACAGGGACAGGGAAATGTTGCTGGTAACAAGTGGTTGCTCTTACCTCGTGTTGCTGCAAATGAATGTCAACAGGGCATTATGACAGAAATATACCTAGCACAAACAGTTTATCATAAACTAACATGCACTGTTGTTTAAAATATTAATGTGTTTTATATTTAATTCTGTTTTTTTTCTGTTTTAACTAGGCTGAATTGGAAGCTTTTGAAAACAGGTTAAAAGGACGACGGAAAAATAAGAGGAGAAGGGATGAAGCAGAAACCGAGCAGTCGGTGTGGGAAAAATATAAGCGTTTCATCATGCTGTCAATATGTGGAGTTGCTGTTGTGATACTTGCCTGGATCATAGCCTACAACCATTGAAATAACTTTAGGTCTATTTTAATATACCTCACTTGGGCATTAGATAGCTAGTATTGCTAGAGTGTTAGCCTGCCCTCTGGGCTTCAGATTCATGGTTATGTTGTATATTTTCTCCTACCAATTTATTATCATCATGATGGGGGAAAAACGAACCCCATCATGATCTTAACTAGTGACACAAAAATGTGAATTAAACTTCCGAGTAACAAAGTAGCATGCTATAAAGTTGTACACTCAATTGCTCGTGTCATATATTATCTTGCCCAATTTGACCAAATTATATTAATATCTGGTATTATTTCTCATTGTCCCTACTTTATAATACTGGCATAGTTTAATTTAGTTGCTTTACTTCATACTAGGATATTTGTAAAATACAGCTGAATCAAGTTCTGTTTGCAGTAAAATCAGTACAGTATTTTTCTCTTTAAAAGACTGTTGGTTTGCTTTCAAACTAGTTAAACCTTAAGTCACACAAAAGAAAATAACTTCTGTGCTTCTTGGTGACTTGTGGTCTCGAGATAGTCTAGAAAATTCATAAATTGTATTGCCTTATCTCAGATGATAATGCAAAACCTTAAAATCTGAAGGGGAAATGTCACCTTTCTTCATAAAGAAATCTTTTGAACTAGATCCATCACAAGCAGTGAAATGGGTTTGTTTTATTACTTTTGCTGTGCCTCAAAATCAAACCTATTTGAAAGGCAGCATTTAGTATAACTTTGTGGTGATTAGCGATCACCTGGGAAGCAGTCTGATGGAATGGAAGTCTTACCCAGGGAAAGGGCACATTCTCCTCATTGTTCCTAAGTTATCAGTCAAAATGGATAGTGGGACACTGAAGATGAAGCATCTGCAGATGATTCAGGTTAAATGTTGGGTTTGAATCTTTGTAGAGATGTATGAAAGTGCAAATGGACTGAAATTTACTTAAATGTCAACTATACGTAGTTCTAAAGCCATTTGAATAGTTCTTGTTAGTCATATTAGAAATGTCTGGCTAACCTTTAAAACATTTAATATAATTGCATCGTCTAATGGACGGTCTTAAATATGTTGCCTTTGGGGGTTTGTTTGTTTTTTTTGTTGTAAATTGAAGGATGCTGTTAATTTGTAATGCTCAAAATGTTGACTAATCTTGAAAATTATATGAGAAATAGCTTTGCTTCAGATGAAGAAATACAAATTAACTAGGAAATTGGATTTCTATCTCTGTGCTATATTTTTACTTCTGATGCTTATACTTAAGCAAAGCAGAAATTGAATAGTGTTCAGTGATTTCCCCCCCCCCCACAATTTCTTCCCCTAACCTTCCACTAAGGGCATGAGCCTGTTCCCACATCCTGGATGTATAACTCAGACATATATCAGTCCTGCTGAGGGCAGGAGACCACTTACATGAGTAATGAGTAAGGATTGCAGTTAGGTTCAAAATTGGTCTTTTTCATAGGATGGATTATAATTCAGGGTAATATAATCATTATGGGAAAAGGTGGTTTATATCCAATTATAATTGTGGCTTGACAGTCAGAAAATTGTGGGATGGGAGGAGGCAGAAAAACAGTGCAGTTTTCAGTTTGCATTTACTATTTTTTTTCTAACTGGCTAACTTTTTAACTGGAAGCTTAAAAAATGTACAAATGGTCATCATTATATGGCAAGCAATGCAAGTATGTACAGTTAATGAAAAATATGTTAGGTATGAAAGACTTATGAAATCTGTGCTTGTTTTGTTCCACTTGTTTCGTTTTTAAACGCATTCATTTAACAGCGTAAGGGAAGAAAATTCTCTCCTGGTTAGTACTTCAATATTTTCCTATAGCACTTATGAGAGAGAGATTAATCCAGATTCATGCCTGAACAAGTAGACTTTGGTCTTTGATTCAATGAGGAAATAACACTTGTAACAATTTATTAGTAATTCACTTATGCATCTAAAAAAAGGAAAGATTTTTCTTTAAACCAGGGTAGTCTGCTCTGTTTCTTATTTGCTGTGGAACTGATCATATCAACGTGAGGTGAGGCTTTGCTGAAGTAGTTTTTACTTTGCCTGAAATTAGCTCATTTTCATTTGTTTACTTTTGGCTCTTTCTTTATTAAAACAAATACCCTAAAGTTTCTGTCTGCCAATTAGTACTCCTGTTGTGAAGAAAATTACTTTCTCTAAAGAAACTGTTTGAAAATAAACTGTCCCTCGTTATATGTTTTGAGTAGATGCCTTGGTGTTTCCTTGCTTTGAATATTTTGTGGCAAGTTGATGTAAAAATATTGGAGGGAAAATGATTTGGCATCTTTATTGATCATGTTAAATATTTGTATTTCTTAATTGTCTTGGTTGGAAAACACACTGCAAGGACTATTCCTATTCTGAGGCAGAGAAACTTAAGATGGACAAAATGTCAAAAATAATAAGTATAATTTAATTGTTAAAAAGCATTCGAGTCATCTGCACTCTCAGTTGGTATGCCTACTACAAGCAGCGCCTGTTGAATTCGATATTTCTGGCTTCTTGCACCATGGAGTGTGTGGGTTAAAACAATCTGCAGTTTAGATTACTGGCTTTTCTTCCACTTATGTCCTCATCTTCTGTTAATTCCTTATAGTTTAATGTTGATTGGAGACTTTTCTATTTGCAACGGTAATTTGGAAATAAAACAGACATAATGCATTTATGATCTTTCAGTTTGTATACTTGAATTACTGTGTAAGAAAAATACTGAATTGAACCTAGGTATTTGTCACAATTTAAATGGTACGTTATTTATGTGGTGATAAAATAAATATTGAGAACTTTACATTATGGAACTGTACATACATTAAAACAAATGACATCGTATGTGTCTTGAAATTCGGTATGCTTAGCCATATGTAAGTGCAAAGCTACTTCTAAAGGTAGACCCAGTTCTGAATAGGCACCCTTACCTTTCATTAACATTGGAATTACTTGGCAATTTTAAAGGATTATGTCCTTAGACTGTAAGCTCTTTGGGGCAGTGGACCTCTCACTTGCATATGAAGTGCCAAGCGTATCTATAGCATTGCATACGTTATAGTCTGTATAAAAAAAAAAAAATCCAATAAATTAAATATATATTGGTAGATTTGTTCATGTGTTTCCAAGTAAGAACATTTAAGGAGCAAACTGTAAATAGTAATCCTTGACATACATTGTAATTGAAGTAGTAGTGTAATTTTGTTCAGTGCTGTCTTACTACTTGCTACTGCTTTCTTTTGGCCCTTCTTCCTGATGATTTATTTAATCCCAGAGCTATAAGTAGGAAGAGAGATGTTATATTTAAACTGGAAAAATTCTTACTGTGAGATCTATTAAACTGTGGAATGAGTCTCCCAAGAGATGTGGAAGCAACTCCCTTGCTTGTCATTTAAGATTTGGACAAAGTATTGGAGAATATGCTGCAGAAAACAATTTTGTACTTGTTTCAAGGATGGAAAGTACCTGTTAAGTCACCTTGTCCTCTATCTTAAACATGTATAATATCCCATTCCTACCAATAAGAAAGTTAACTTATATGTTTGCTTAAGTACCTGCTAGTAGAATGGTTCCAGTTCATGAAAATAGAGGGAAAGAAACATAACAGGCAACTTGAAGGTTGCAAATAATTACATTCATTTCACTGCATATTGGCAAAACAGCTGAGGATGTCAGTGTTGGTGGATGGAATGGGAGGAGATGAAAGGTCTTCAGCCTCATTGGTGCCAGTGTGGGCTTATCAACCCTATTTTCATTACCCATTCAATTGACTCAAACATGAAGCTTAAATATAGATAGCCCATCATTCCTCTTGTATTAAAGAATTGAGGGCAAAATTTCTATGTACAGCACAAAAGCTAAAATCATTCAATCAATCAATCATTGGATTCAGTTTGGGCTTTAAAATTCTGTACTGTTTGGGGTGACGGGCAGACTTGCACTGTCCCAATAAAAGCTTCATGATGGTCAGGAAGCACCATCCTTTCAGAGGGTGGAGTGGGAGCGTTTTTTTGCCAACCTAAATATGTCTAGCTTCCATAGATGTGGGAAGCAACTTGCAGCTTCTCTATTTCTAGGGTGGCTAATACTGTACACCAGAGCATATTCTTGTGCTAGCCAGCTTTCACACACAGACATGACTGCTGTTTGGTGGTGGGTGGGTTGAGAGAAGAGGCTGCACCCCCACACGCAGAGGCTTGGCACAGTCTGACTCTTGTTTGTCCTTAGTTTGGATAACCTTCTGCACTCTAATCTTTCCCTCTTAAACCTGTGCACAGGCCATTTCAGACACTAGATTTCAGTGCAGGTATAAGACTCAGGCAGTTACTTCAATCTGCATTCCCTGGCCAATGAGACCAGTTCCTCTTAAATGTAAAGCTAATAATTTCATATTTCCATTCTATTGGGCAATGGAATGCAAGGCACATGTTTCTGAACAATAAAATTTAAAGAGAAACTCTCTAAATGAATATTGCCTGGTAATCCAATTAACAAGATTTGGCCAGCTTTAACTATGGGGACCATATTGGTGCTAAAATATTATTTGTGTTGTATAGTCTGAAGACATGCAGGATATGCCACCGAAGTCTTGACCTGTTTCTGATGCTTTTTAATCCAAGTACAAATAACTTGTATCATTATAAGACAGCAACCTGAATGGCAGCGTGGTCTTGAGCAGAGGTGCTGGAGCTCTAGTTCGTGGGCCAAATGCAGCCTGCAGAGCCATGGCATCCAGCTCTCAGGGTCCCGCACAGTTTGGGAAATTTGGTGGGGGGGGGAAGCAGTGGCAATTGATACAGCTGCCCTTCCCCACTGCCAAATTCCTAAACCAGGCTCTGCTTTTGGGTTTGGAGCTGGGCTATATCCCCTTCCTGAGTCTGGGGCAAGCCCTCCCCCATCAAGACTTTTTCCCCCTGTGGGGCAGGGTTGGTTGTGGCCGGGCTACCCCGATCTCCCCCTGCCCCTTGCCCCCCATACAGCTGGATGGGGCTCTGCTGTGTCCACCTGAATGATGGATCTGGCCTGTGGACAGACTAAACACTGTCCATCTGGCCCAGTCAGGTAAAAAGGTTGACCACCACTGGTGTGGAGCAGTGAGCAGGGGGGGTGAGGGCAGAAAATCCAGAATTCTAACCTGCTTTGATATGGGCTTTGAACATATCCTCTCTGCTTTAGCTTCCCTATCTGTAAAGTGGGGGTTACCAGCTGTTTCAGAAGAATAGGTAATTTGTATAGTACTAACAGGGCAAGTATTGACTAAATGCTAAATGTAATTCCTGATTCCAGTGAACTGCAGTCCTAACCGGCTGCTGCTAATACTCCCAGAGTCACTAATTCCACTTGTATCTCTGGTTCTTATCCCAGTGTTTGTGCAGCACCAGTTCTGTTTTAATCTTAATTCTGTAAGGGAGATTTTTGTCCATGTTTAAAAATGCAGGACTGGAAGCATTTTCTTATGATTTGATAAGTGTAGTACTGCAAACAGGGAATGGAGACAGTGCCTCACACTGATTACAACTAAACTGGGCATTGACATAAAGAGAGGGAAAATGATGAAGGCTGAAGGTAGGGTGTTGGTTGCTAGAGAGCTGGAAATATAAACTCTCCTAGGTCTATTTTTATAGTAGTATACAGGGTTGCAGCTGGAGTGAGACAGGGCAGTAGCTAGTGCTGTAAGGTTGGCTGCTGGGGTTTAATCCCATGTGGTTTTCTTAGGGTGGAACTGCTCTTAAAGAACAGCAAGGGATGCCTGTTGGTCTTTGCAAGCAAAATGAAAGTATATTCTTCATCTATAGCATCCATCCACAGGAGCCCAGAACGCTCTGCTCTTCTCTTTTAAGTAGAGGGTGAAACAGATCCTGGAGACGTAATCGGTGTGTCCTGTATTAACAATGTCTATGCTACACCGTACAATGCCATGGACCCCCAGACACGTACAGACACCCCCCTCGGGCCCAGACAAACACCCACGCGGACTCCGAGACTGAGACCTAGCCCCACATACACCAGGACACACCCACTTACCCACGGACACCCATCCATACCCTGACATGGCCCCCCTCCAGACATCCACAAGCACCCAGACCACCTTCCCCTCCCCAGGCAGAGAGTGCGTGTGGCGGGGAGGAGGGAGGGAGTCTCCACAGCCCGACGCGGAGCCGCTATCCCCGGGGCAGCGGGTCCCTGGGCACTGGGCTTCGGGCCGGGCCGCGTCCATCGGGGCCCGGGGCAGTGCTGGGGCCTTCCCCGCGCCCGGGAGCAGCAGCGCAGCTCGAAGCCCCTCGCGCCTGCTCCGCGCACGTGTCCGCCCCGCCTGCCCCGGCCCGGCCC